TGTCCATTTGCCCCTCTTGCAGTTAATTATATTTCCACCTTTTCTTCAACCTTCTTAGCTTGACAGGTATTATTTATCTCAATGCTATTTTTACCGATCTGGCACAACATCTTCCCTCCTCCTTGTAATATTAATGTGTTCATGCACAAGCCTTTTCCTGCGGACCATTGCTGTGTCTCTGCGCCTGCCACAGCGTATCCAGCCTGAACACTCTGTGTTTGCTGCAGGATTAACTACTATCTGTCGGGCGGCTTCCACCCCATGGGTTTCCACGTGGTCAATATCCTCCTGCACGGTGGCATCTCTGTCCTCATGGTAGATGTCTTCTCGGTGCTGCTCGGTGGCCTGCAGTACACCAGCAGAGGCCGGAGGGTGCACCTGGCGCCCAGGGCGTCCCTGCTGGCCGCGCTACTGTTTGCTGTCCATCCTGTGCACACCGAGTGTGTAAGTATCGTCGGCACACGTGGGAGAAGTGTCAGGACATCCCTGTGTCATCTCGTTTCCCAAAACAGGTGCCCTTTATGTGCTCATCTTGTTTCTAGAGCTAGAGAATGTGTGCTCTACAGACTCTATAAATAGCAAGCACACAGTGCGAAAGCCCCATCAGACATTGGAAACAATTACACCTAGTTCAAAGACATCTCTGGTGAAAATTCGCAGAGTGCTGTCTCGGTGCAGACTTTAGGATAAGGTGGCGTGACCTCCAGTCCTCCTTCTGGGCAGCTTCTGTGACTGCACCAGTTGGGAAGGTGCATGCTGAGCATTGCCTGCTTGGAGACTGAAGGCCAGAGGCTACAAACCATTCTTCAGCAACAGGTCTGATGCAGTGTTTCTGTTAGCTCACAGCTTACTGCTGTACAGGATACTTTCATACACCTAATACAATTGTCATAAAGATGCTGTTGATATCAATTGGGCTGTTATGACCATTTCTACTTACCTATGAGGAAATGGCCTGGGAGTATAAATAAAGGATTTATCCAGGGGAGGGAGCATGAGTGTAGGATCGGACTCCCTTTCTGGGCTTGTCAGGCCCCTGCTGGGAACTGCTCCTGAAGTCTCCCACCCTCCTCCTTCTCCTCTGTCCCATGATATCTTCTTCCTGGTGTCAGACGTGGCCCAGTGATTGGCAGCTTCTGGCAGGTGCCCAACCTATCTCCACTCCATTGAGCTGCTGCTGCACATATTCGGTATAGGCTGTGTTGGGATTTAACTCGGTGCTTGTGAGGTTTTCAGGAACTATCCCACCCCCACCCGCATGAGGCCTTTGAGAGTGTAAGTCTGCATGTGCACCAACATGAAAGATTCTGTTTGAGTCATTCGTTCTCTGAGCGTGGCCTCCCTGGAATGAAGTGCTGCCTGAACTTCCTCACTCCTCACAGTTGACTTCTGCGTTTAATATGGACTTAAATACCTACATTTAACCAGTTGTATTGAGCTTCTTGAATAAATTTCAAAATGATCAGAATTCCTATTTTTAGCACCTGATTTTATAATATTAAACTGTTCTTTGGTATCAGGAGTATTGTGGAGCTGTTATTACAGCCTTCTCCTAATATTTTTTTTCTTACTAAAGCAAATTCAGAGGGCTTAAGGGCTTGAGAGACTGGGATAAACTGTTGTTAAATTTTATTTATGAGCATTTTAGTTGTACGTGACTAAATCTAATTTAGAATCTGTTCTGGTCTGAATTCTGTTTGTTGGGACCCAGAAATCGTATACACGTTGATCGTAAATAAGAGACTGGAATATGCTGATTTCACTGGAGAAGTACTAATCCACTCTCTTGCTTCTTATCTAATTTAGCATGATCTTCAAAGCAACTTGTAATATTTGAATTTTTAACCAAAGAAAATTTTCCAAAATTCTCATTTTAAGTATTGAGAATTTGATATATAAAAAGCTTCTCATACCAAGTATAACTAGATGTGTGTACATACACATACTGCAGACAAGTGCAATCTGGAAACATGTTAATCTTGAAAGTCTATATTCCAGTTCTCGAAGAGGAAGCCGAGGCAGGTCTAGCTATAAGAGAGAATGGAATATTTGAAGAATCCCTTATCTCTCTGTCTCCTTTCCATGACAGCCATTCAAACTTAGATTTCAGAAAAAGGGTTACGGATAATTAAAAATTAGCCTTCTCAGATGGATATCCTACATGTTTATCTTTCACTGTTTTGTCAAATAGTATTCAGTTTCCCTACATCTGTAGTCCCCTGTTATCTCCCACCCTGCATTTTAAAATTCCAGCTTTAAAAATGTGCAGAAAGTGGGATAGGAGGGAAACAGGTGGTGGACGAGACCCTCACAGGTGTCCCGGCCAGCACCGAGGAGACAGCCCAGCTCTCTGGTGAGCTGGGCCAGAGGCCTGAGTGACAGGCTGGGCGCAGTGTCCCCAGGCTGCAGACTGATCCCTTGTGGGATGAGCACAGTGGGGACTCGAGTGGCTCATGTGCCTCTGTTTACCTGTATTAGGAGTAGGTAGTGGCCTGTGGCCCCTGCAGGTTTCAGCGACAGGAATGTCTTTATGTAACATTTGTGTCCCGTGTCTTTACCACTCTTCAGTGAAAACACTGAAAGTGATTTTGGCCACCGCAGAGCCAGTCTTCTAGGATGACCAGCCATCCAGTATTCCCAGGATAGCCTGGGCAATCGAGGAGGACCGCATCACACCACAGGCTAGCCACATCCTGGTCCCCAGCTGGTAGTGCAGAAATTACACTTGGTTTTATTTGCTTCCAAACTGATATGAGAGCCTCTTTTGTTCAAATATATCTCCCCAGATCTGTTTGTAGATGAACACCACTTGCTGCTGAAGGGAAGGCAGCTAGAGAGGGCCGGACAGCCTGTCTGTTGGTGGCCTGAGGAGGCCCCAGGGCTTCTCTGGGGACAGGATTGTCCCATGTGGATTTTACTGTTTATTTTCCTCAGAGCATTGGGGAAGATTTCAGGTTGCCTGAATTTGAGTATCAAAGAGGGAAACAAGGGCCTCCTTGAGAGGTATGCTTATCCAGAGAACCCAGACTTTAATCTGGGAGGGTTTAGGTGGGAAACCTGCCCCCTTCCCTCTCATGACCCCTGAGCAGCTTGATCCTAGTGGGATGACAACCCTGCCACCTGCTTTATGGGTTCAGGGGCACTGCAGTTACTTCTCCAGAAAACCCTGTTAGGAGTGTTGCATATTATTTGTAAGAAAAAAATAGCCTTTGTAGAGAAGTCTGCCTGAAAATACATGTTATGCAAATGTCAGAAGGAAAATAAAATCTCTTCTTGCTTAGGTTCAGTCTCAGACAATGCTTGGATACAGTCTCTTTTTTTGGATAGGCTTTTAACATTCTTTTTTTTTCTGGGAAATCTCTAATTACTATGCCAAAAATTCATTATAAGTGAATTTTTACTTTCTTATTTTTACGAAATACTCCTTTGCTTTAGAACACTTACCATAGTTTAAAAAATGTGTTTGTCTTTATGTCAGACAGGATAAAGTGCGTTGCTTCAGTTCTCAGCACTGTCCTTAGCAATCAACAAACAGAAAAACATTTCTTTAAAAATAAGTTTATGGTGGTTAGGTTCATTTCAGTGTGATTCTTCACATGTGCCTCAGCTGCCCAGGGCCCAGGTGGCTCAGACGGACTGGTCCTCTTGGCCTTCAGCCCTGGTGTTCCTCCTTACTGGTTCCTTCCTCTCACTCACCGCATGCCCCCTGGTTTCTGGTCCTTCTTCCCCAGGCTTTCTTAGACCTGATTGCTCTGTGGGCCCTTTGGCCGGGCTTCTCTGGATTGGCTTTTGTTACTCTCTGTCCCCAGGGGGCTGGATTCTGGTCCTCCCCAGCTGCAGACAGCAGCAGCTCTGTCTCGCCCTCACCCCCTCCCTTCCTGGCATGAGGACCACCCAGACGGGATGTTCTGGCTGCCTCCTCATGAGCGGCTATGCCACAGATACGACACCCTGCCTCCCTGAGCTTCTGTGTCCTTTGTCCTTTCTGCTGCTCCTGTTCCTAGAAGCACTCCATGAGATTCACCCAGGGTAGTAACCGGGAGCCGCACCCACCACCTGCCAGGCTCTGCTCTGGGTCGCTGCTTCTGCAGTGTGTCACTGCGTCCCTGGTTGAGTTTGTAGCCCTGAGTATTCCAGAACTCACATTGCATATTCATTTCACTCATAAAGTAATTGGATTGTTTAACCCTCCAGCACGCGTAGGGGGCTGGGTACTTGTTCCAGATCTGTTAAGCCTTTGTTTTGTCCCTAGCTTCCTTCCGGGTGGGCTTTTTATGTGTGTGGTATTCACAGGTTGGATTTACCGGCTTACTCAGGCTTCTAGTCACTGTGGGGCTGCCGCGTGCTCTCCAGCAGGGGCTCACAATTAAGGTGGATAATAGACCTCAGCACCTCACAGGTAACCAGGCTAGTGTAGGGAAAACTGCTCCTAAAAGGGCATTCTTTTTCAACCGTTTTGTATGCAATCAGGAATTAAGTGTAAATGTAGTTGTTTTATAGTTATTGTATATTTTCTTATCAAGATTTGTAAAACAGTCCTCACATATCGTATCTGTCCTTTGAGAAAGGATCAACCTACCAACCTTTAAAACTCTACTGCAATGGTTCTCAACCTTCCTAATGCTACGACCCTTCAATACAGTTCCTCATGTTGTGGTGACCCCCAACCATAAAATTATTTTCGTTGCTACTTCATAACTGTAATTTTGCTACTGTTATGAATCATAATGTAAATATCTGCTATGCAGGATGTATTTTCATTGTTACGAAGGGGTTGCGACCCACAGGTTGAGAACTGCTGCTCTAGCAGAAGCTTTGACATGAGGCGCTGGTTAGTAAAGGCCCCACCTACACTAGGCCAGCACTCAGGAGTGGAATTCTGTATCTTTCATCACCATGAAACATTTGGGAAGCAAATACTGGAGCAATCAGCCCGAAATAAATAAACACAAAGTTTATATAGCTTCATTCTCACGAAGAAGAAAAGGGAAGGGCGGAGTCATGTGTGAAATGGGGAAAAAATAAATGATAAAAATGTTATTGTTGCCATCTGCTTGTTAATCGC